CCCCAAAACCCCAAAACCCCAAAACCCCTTACTTCCTCCAAATCCCCCAATACTCGTATTAAACACAAATCCCCAGCCAAACACCCAAACCTCAGCACAAACCTCCTCTATTCCCAATCCCTAGTCCTAAACCTCTCCAAATCCCCACACAGAACACCTCATTCACATCTTCCAAAAACCAGCTTAGGGAACACCTACCACCCTGTTTAGAAGCAATTGATTATGATTAGTAACAGCTCTTGAGGAATTTTGAAGGAGGACATGGAAAATGGGGAGAAGGCTTTCTTCCCATCAATATTTTGAATTGTTTATACTGAAATGTTTTGCATGCTTGTTTTGGATTATATTCCTTGTGTGGAGTTTAATTCTTTGTAAAGATTTTCTTTTAGTTTTATAATAGATATTGATGTCTTGAGATTAGAGATCATGCTTATTATCCCAAAAGTCAGAAGATTGGTGTTTGGAAGAATATTGGCTTTTATTTCAAATTCATTACCTGGTATCTTAGAATTCCCAGACCAGGTAATACACCTTAGAATCTAGAACAGAAGAATTATCTGGTCAGCACAGGCAGAAAGAATATCTGGTGGGAACAGAAAGGAGGTAAAGTTGGAAGCAAATCTATCAACTTTCCTTAAGAGGGAGGTTAGTATTTGGTATACGAATATTTGATTTTTGAAGAATGTTTTGGATTACATGGATTGGTGAAATTTGAGAGCGTTTTCATGAGAATGGAATTGGGGATCTTTTATAATAAGCTAGTTCTTTTGGTTTATTAGTATTAGATTAAAAATTATAAAAATGAGAATGCTTTAAAAAAATGAGTATATATAGGAATTTTTCAGAAATTTGAAAATGAAGATTCGCGAAAATGAGAGTTTACGAAATAAAATGAAATTTTATTGTCTTAACCTAACACTGAAACTTTATGATCATTTAAGAAATAAGAGATGTAATTTGACTGTTGAAGATTAAGGAATGCAAACAAAATTGGAAAATTGCTGGACTCGCAATTGCTAATCTCACTTGTCCTAATTTATAGCACAATTATTAAGGTAAGCAATTATATCCAAGTTCTCTCAAGTAAGACAAAGGATAGCATCTTTGAGCCATGAGTTACCCGATTCTTCTAAAGATCAAATAAATTTATATTTCATTGACTAAAATTCTAAACTTATTCAAGATTTTGATGAGTGGCTCAAAGCCAGTAAGAGACAAGATATAGTAAAATTATTTATAGTATGAATATGTTAACAGAAAGGACTGTAGATGTCTCCTACAGTCACTAATCTATTTCCAGGAGTTGGGAGATCACAGCATTCATGATTCCCAAACTTTGGGTTTTCGTCCTTCTCACGATCTGAGTTATTCATGTTTCTTATTTGGATGGCTTTCTGCAGCAAGCTTCTAATGTCACTCTGTAGACTCTTGGCGGATAGTTTTGTTATTGTAGACTCTTTCTTGTTGAGAAGGCTTTTGTTGTCAAAAGAGGATTCAAAGTTCCCTGTTAAAAGTTCTTTGCTGTGTTTAGGCTCAGATCAAGAAGCAATCTTCTTAAACTGCGTCATCTTAGGCTTCTGCTCAAAAGGAGTAGCTGATAGTTTAGTCTCAAGATGAAGAGAATGAATCAATACTGGCCGAACCTCGTACTCATCTAAGATGTCGTCAGTTATGTTTTCCTCTGAATTTTTGAAGTAGTCCATGTTATGAATATTTATTATATCAGTTCTCTTAACTTCTTATGGGGTTTTGGGGTTTTGGGGTTTTGGGG